ACGCTCCCACCAAAAAACCAAGCAGGCACGTGACTTTAGCATTAACATTAGCATTAGCATTAGAATTATGATTTGAAGTAACATTATACAAAAAATTATGGTTAGGATTAGAATTAGCATTAAAATTGGGACTAGAATTAGTATTAAAAATAGCATCAGCATTATCATATTTCCATTGCCATAACTATTGGCATTAAAATTAGTATTAGCAATTTTGAGTTGAGTCAGTATTAATATTAGCATTACCATTAGCAACAACTTTAGAATTAGAACTACCATTTGCATTAGTATATTTTGATTAGCATTAGTATATTAGGATTAGCATTAGCATTGACATTTACATTAGCATATAAGTATTAGTTTAGTATTATTATTAATATTAGTATTTGTATTCGCATTAGGATTAAGATTATAATTAACATTAGCATATTAGGATTAATATTAGTATGAATGTTAGTATGCATATTAGTATGAATATTAGCAATATGATTATGATGTGTATCAGTATTAGTATTATGATTAGAATTATTATTAAAAATTAGAATTAACATTAACATTGGCATTAGCATATTAGGAATAGTATTAAAATTAGTGTTAGCATTAGCATATTTGCATTTCTATAATGATTAAACTATGATTCGTATTTGTTAGAATTAGGATTACAATTAGAATTAATATTATAATTAGGATTAGGATAAGGATTATGATTAGAATTAAAACTATAATTGTAATTAGTATTAGAATTACAATTAGGGTTAGCATTAACATTAAGGGGTTTAAAGATATAGGTCATTGGTGAGAAAACATATTAGAACTAAATGACAAGTCTAACTAAACATTAGCTTCACATCCTTTATAAATTTCATTCCAATAATGCCCTCCACATACAAAAAATGAAATATGCACCAAGTAATATTTAAACTATATTTATCATTTTTTCATTCTGCATTTAACATTTTTATTTTCGCATCTAGCATTTTTGTTATTATTTTTTTTTTTCGTAGAACAATTTTTTTTTTTTGCATTTTCGTATTTTTTCCTTTTCTTCTACATAATATTGAAAATTATGATTTTTTAATTTTTTCGGCCGTAGTCTTCTATAGTAACCCGTAGGAAACCGTAGTAGTCCGTAGTCATGTATATACAGTCGTAGGAAACTGCAGTAATCCGTAGTCACGTATTCTTAAAACTTTAATTCCTCCTTTGAAACCCTAGCCGTCAGACACCATAGACGCCCATAGATACTCATAGACATTTATAGACATGGAATCGAAAAATCTTAGATCCGCCCCACCAAACCGTAGATCTCATCCACCAAACTCTAGATCTGCAATGGTTGAATCTGTCCTCCAATTGGTGGCTCCGCCTCGGCGATTGCTCCTGACTGATTTCTCCCTCTGTTATCGGATCCGATTCCATCGGGATTTCCATTAGAGGTTCCAGAATTGTGGTCTCGATTATTATGTCGTCGAGGCTAGGTCTAATCCTGGCGGCCATTAACGGAGTAAACGGTGAATCCTGATGGACTGATGGAGTAAACGGTGAATCCTGTCTAGGTCATAAGGACTAATGGTGTACAACTATACCATAGATATCTCTACTCGATTATTGGGAACCACTTAGATATTTCTAGGGTGAGGGAGTTCAGTGAACTCGTCAACTTACGAGCACCCACTTATGCATGCCGATATGACAATACCGTTTACTGATGAGATGCAGTACACATACACTAAGTGCTAGTCTCTTAATGGGAAAGGCCGATATCCTCATTGGTGGCGTAACCCTTCGACTCGGAACACGTTTAACAGTTATAATACTTAAGTAAATATCTCACGATCCTAACGATCAATTACTAGTACTTGTAATAACTGTAAGGACTACATCTATGCTTGTGACAAAGGGACAAAGATATAGAATGCCAAGGTGGTTTATCATTAATACGAAAAAATGTTCGTTTATTACCATAATAAATACGAAAGACCACAGCCACATGTTGGCTTGTTGGTCACCTACTCTAACAGTGCAACCAGAATAAGTCGATAAAGTACTTATTAAAGTACATCAACAAAGGACACGATCGGGTCACGACGACATTTTATCAATCAAATAATCCAGGTGCAACTTCTGAAAGTCGCGATAAGATAAAGATGTACTATGACTGAAAATATGTATCAACATGCGAGGCTGCTTGGAGGTTATTTAGCTTTGATATATCCTTTAGAGACCCACTGACGATTAGATTAAGCTTTCATCTTCCGGGCAGTCACGTTGTTGTATTTAGAGATAATGACTCATTTGTTGATCTGCTAAACAAATCGACTGCGAAGCAAACGATGTTCCATGCGAATAAGTTGTACCGTAAAGCTAGATATGAGGTATGGAGAGTTTCCACAAAAAAATGTCTATAAAGAAAAAGCTCGTTGTTGGATGCCGAGAAAGATAGGATTCTCGATAGGAAATATTACGAATGTACCGCCGGGCAGGGGTGAAGACTATTAGACTATTACATGAGACTGTTGCTGAACTTTTAAAGAGGTTGCACGTGTTACGATGATCTTAGAAAAGTCAAGGACCATGTCTACCCATCTTTCAAAGATGTGTGTTTTGCGTTGTGATTGTTGGACGATGACAATGAGTACATAGCTGACATAAAGGAGACAAACGAGTGGGCGGTGACTATGTGAGACGATTATTTATCGTACTTTTGGTCGCAAATAATATGAGCAGACCGGAATATGTGTGGGAGTGTTGCTGGAAGGAATTCACAGAGGATATTGCGTACAGACTGCAACAACGTTGTACCAATTCAAGTATGAGAATACATTTTACATTTTTACGCAAATTACTACAAATATTTGAATTGAAAGTATATATTTTTATAATCGCCACAATTTGTTAATTTTCAAAATTGTACTATATTAAAGATCCACATGTGTCTGGCGATACTCTAAGAAACTACGTTTTGATCAAAATAGAAAACATATTACAAAACAACAGCAAAAGCTTGAGTAACTTTCCACTAATGCCGGTTCCAATTGGGTTGATGACGGACGCCACGGTAAACTGATTGGTTCTCGACAATTTGGACTATGACGTTGATGCAATGCGTGAAAAAACTTAAAAAACACCTTTATTCCATTACTTGAGCCAAAAAAAGTGTTCAATGATATCATGGATGTTGTTACAAATGAAAGAGGTGGAATGTTCTTTCTTTATGGGCATGGAGGAACGGGAAAGACTTTCATAGGAAAACTTTATCGGCTGTTATCCGTTCAAAAGGCAAAATAGTTATAAATGTTGCTTCTAGTGGTATTGCTTCGCTTCTACTTCCCGGTGGCAGAACTGCTCATTCGAGATTTGGACTGCCAATAATTGTACATGAGAGCTCCACATACATTATCAAATAATAGAGTCCACATAAATAATGTTGTCTAAAGCAAAGCTAATCATATGGGACGAGGCACCAATGATGCACATGTATTGTTTCGAAGCACTTGACAAAACAATGAAATCTATACTTGATTCAGATATTCCATTCGGAGGCAAGGTCGTAGTTCTTGGAGGGGACTTTCGGCAAATTCTGCCAGTTGTGTTGAAAGCATCTAGACAAGACATTGTTCATTCTATAATCAATTCATCACCGTTGTAGAGACAATGTAAGGTTATGATATTGAACAGGAACATGAGACTTCAGTCCTCCTCCTCTTCACCAATGCAGATGAAATAAGAGAATTTGTGGACTGGATATTGAGAATCGGCCATGGCGATGCTGGCGAGGTAAATGACGGTGATACCATAATTGAAATTCCCAATGACTTGTTGATTCATGATTCTGCAGATCCCTTTTTGGATCTTATCGAGTTTGTCTATCCCGATCTGGTGAGAAACCTTTTCACTCCCGATTATTTCGAGGGCAGAGCAATTCTTTCACCCACTAATGAAAGTGTTGGTTTTGTGAACGATCATTTTTTTTCGACCATAACTGGAGAGGAGAAGGTCTATTTCAGCTCCGATAGTATGTGAAAGGATGAGTTATTATCCGATATCAACGCTGAAATATATTGCGCGGAGTTTCTCAACACCATATCATGCTACGGAATTCCATTGCATAGTTGACTTTGAAAGAGGTGTTCCCGTTATGCTCATCAGAAATATTGATCAGGCCAGAGGATTGTGCAATGAAACAAGGCTTCTGGTTATTAATATGGAAAACACATTATGAACTGCAGGATCCTCTCCGGTAAACATGTTGGTGATGTGGTGTTTATTCCTAGAATGACTTTGGTATCGTCCAACTCTGCATTGCCTATTAAATTCCAGCGACGTCAGTTTCCGCTGATGGTATCATTCGTAATGACAATCAATAAAAGTAAAAGGCAGACACTTTCTCATGTAGGCATGTACTTGCCGATATCTGTTTTCAGTCACAGACAGCTCTATGTCGCACTCTCGAGAGTTAAGAGTCGAAGTGGCATAAAGATTTTGATGAACTCGGAATCTGGTGATGCGACCAACGTTACAAATTATGTTGTATACAAGAAAGTTTTTCAGCGTATAGGAAGGTAATTCTATATAAAAAAATTTTACAATATTCAATGACGACCTTTATTATCTATTATTTATGGGTTTTGTTATTTCTCATTTGTATGTTTATTTTAATTGTACTACGAACTTGCTATGGACTCCGCTCAGTATATATCATGAAGATAATTTTTTTACAATTATTTATGCCATTAAACAGTTATATTGGTATTGTTTTGATAACAATTTATATATTTCATATAACCATTGTACAATATATGCACGTAAGTTGCATAGTGTTGGATTCGTTGCATGCGTTTAGGGCGGTTGGTATCAAACAAAATAACACTGATTGTTTGGATTAACAACATTTGAACGTTCAAATGTCATTTTCGTTGTTAAAATTTTGGACCAACAATATATTCGCTCTTTGTATGTGGAAATTAAAACCTTCGATGTTTAAGTTTTTCATTTATTTCGGCTTATGTCATCAATTACACAATACAAATTACTTATTCTTTTTAATATTTGTTTGTATTACATATCAACAATTAATCTTACTATTTCAAGAACCTTTTTTATTATTCAATATTTGTTTGACAATGTATACCCAGTGCAACACACGGGTGTAGTACTAGTTAAATAAGTACAAAACTTCATGTTCTACTTATGATCAAAACGTATGAGGAAATAAAATAAAATTATTCTAAAATCGATGTCAATAAGAATATAAAACCACAAGGAAATGAACTAAAATAAATTGTTATATATTAATTCATGCATGGAAAATGCTCACATTAAACATTCTCTTTTTTTATTGTGTAGTTGATAATAATCAATTACATTAACTTGAATTTCTCTACATAATTATTGTTTGAAACAGTTAAGTTTTTTTTCGTGTTACTCGTACGTTATGGTCACTCTGGTCAAATTTATCAATGATTTCCTTCAACAAAGTGTAAATTTACTACATCAGGGCCCTGATATTTGGTGTAATTACAGCTAAGACTGCCTCAAATTTGGAAAATGCATATCTCCCTTGAATTTGTATAGTAGCTAAGACTTCACTTATTTGATAATTTACTTTTTTTAAATTATATTTTTAGCTCTAATCAAATAATGAGTAAATTATATTGACCTCCCTTTGGTCTAATTATACGTATACACCCTGATATTTACTTTTTTTTCTTTAACCTCAAAATTTAAATAGTTTTGATCATCCACGTCTATAACTTAATTTTTTTTTTCATAAATTCTTTTATTAATATTGACGTTTGAGTTACAGTATAATATTTATAAATTTTACTTAAGTAAACAATAAGACCTATTGTTAAGTACTCCATTTGCTCATATTATTTGTCCTTTTGGGCTATTTCCTGTCCCAAACTATTTGTCATTTTAGAGTTACAATAAAGCATTAATTGCATTTTTATGAATTTTGCCTCGTATCACTCCGAATTAGTTAATTAAAAAATAATTATTAACAAGGGTATTTTAGTATTTACTATTTTATTTTTGGTATAATCTATGCATATTTATCGAGTTTTTTAATATGCGTGCAACCACCCAAAACGACATCTAATATACGACGAATGGAGTATATAATAAGCTAATTATTACATCTAAAGATTAAAAATACATTAAACATGAAGCCTTCAATTTGAAAATACAAAGTCATTTTTATGTTACTTATTTATATACATATGATATTATGATCATTGAAAAACTCGTGAAATATAACTTCAAAGAAAAAGCATTGTTGAAATTTAAATATAAAAGTAATTACAACAACAAGAAAATACAACTTTTAACATATTTTCTAGTACACTAACAAGTCTGTATATATTACTAAAAATAAGTAATATACATTATTATTTATTCATTTATTATATTTTTATGTTCTTTTACATAATTGTATGGTTAAATCATGATGTTACTTATACATGAATAACGAGAGTAAATATATTTTAAGAATTAATTTAACCTGAATATTTATAATCAACAACTATTTTTAGACATATTTCTTATATATGATCCACAACTATTTATAATCTTAGTGACCCATAACTATTTTTCTTTCTTATTTTTAGACATATTTCTTAAATATGATCCACAACTATTTATAATCTTAGTGATCCACAACTATTTTTTTTTTTTCTTATTTTTAGACATATTTCTTATATATGAGTATTTATTTTATTATTTTTTAATATTCCTTAATTCACTTGACATCTATAATGAAAAGTTATACGATATGAAAATTAAAAGTACATTAGGTTTCTAATACTCTGCTAAACTTTTTTTTTACATGAACGTTCACTTATAAACATATATGTTTATGATATGTCACTGAAAAACTCTATTATGAGTTCTATGAAATAAATTTTCTTTTAAAATTCAAGAAAATAAACTGACTTCTGAAAGAAATTATAATATATTAAAACATGATTATACTTTTAATATAAAATAATATAAATATCATTACTAGTATTAGTAAATAGTAATTAGTTTGAGTTTATACTATTATATTTTTATATTTGTGGAATTTACGTAACAAAAAGTATATAAAAATTAATTTCGAATTTAAAACTACTTTAGGTATCTAATGCCTAACTTAAAACAAGAGAATTTAGTTTAAATAACTTTTTACATATATATACTTATAATATTAAGATCATTGGAAAACTCTTTAAATGTAACTCTAAAGAAAAACACATTGCTGAAATTTAATATATTAAAATAACTATAACAACAAAGAATTTTTTTTCTAACATATTTTATTGAAATTTAATATATAAAAATAACTCCAATAACCAAGGAAAAAAAAAACTTTTATCATATTTCGTAGTACACTAACATGTCCTTGACATTAAAATTATATTACTAAAAAGTAAGTAATAGACACGGCCACGGGCCGGGTTTGACCCGGACCCGGAGACCGCCCCGACCTGAGGACCCGTCGTGTCAACCCGGATTTTCCGGTTTTTTTTGTCAAAAAATTGCAAATGTATGGGTTCGAACTCGGGAAACTAGGAAAAATGAGCAATTCTTACCAATGGGCCAACCAAAATATATCATTAAAAATAATAAATATATATAATATAAAACGCTGGTGTAAAATAATAAATATGTTAAATAAACTATTAATTTTCATATTAATTATTATTAAATAATTTTAATTAAATTATTTTAATTAAATTATTAAAAAATGTAATATAAGAAACTTTTAAAGAAATATATAGAATCACGGTTAATACTTCAAATCATCTATTATTAATTACTTCTAAACATTTATTATTATGGGCAAATGGCAAAAAGGCCCATCACATGGGACTTAAATGCATTTTAGTCCACAAAAAAAACAGTCTCTCAATTAAGCCCATCCCCATGTCTTTAGTCTAAAATACCCTCAATAATATAATTCTTAACAATTCCACCCATTATGCTCTAACTTCCTTAATATTACACATTGACCCCGGATTTAAACAAATATATCACATTAACCCCCAAAACTTTTTTTTTTTCAGAAAATAATTTTTTTTCTGAAATGTTTTTTTTCCGGCCAGATTCCGGCGTTGACCGCCGTTGACCGCCGGTCTCCGGCGTTGACTTTTTTTTTTTTTTTTTTGAATTGTTTTTTCTTAGAAAAAAATATTTTAATTAATATTATTGTCTTGACTACTAAATTACTGTCTCAGACAATAATATTACTGTTTGGGACAGTAATATTATGAATATTATTTTTCCGAACAGTAATATTATTTATATTATTGTCTAAGACAGTTAAATTTCTGTTGGAGACAGTAATTTAACATCCAAGATAGTAATATTAATTAAAATGATTTTTTTTAAGGAAAAAAATTAAGAAAAAAAAAAGTCAATTAACAGTTAAATTACTGTCTCCGACAGTTAAATAACTGCTGGAGACAGTAATTTAGCAACGAATACAGTAATATTAATTAAAGATATTTTTTTTAAGAATAAAAAAGTCAATTAACAGTTAAATTAGTGTCTCCGACAGTGAAATAATTGCTGGAGACAGTAATTTAGCAACGAATACAGTAATATTAATTAAAAATATTTTTTTTAAGAATAAAAAAGTCAATTAACAGTTAAATTACTGTCTCCGACAGTTAAATAACTGCTGGAGACAGTAATTTAGCAACGAATACAGTAATATTAATTAAAATATTTTTGAAAAAAAAAAAAAACAGTCAATTAACAGTTAAATTACTGTCTCCGACAGTTAAATAGCTGCCGGAGACAGTAATTTAGCAGCCAAGACAGTAAAATTAATTAAAATATTTGTTTTAACAAAAAAAAAAAATGTCAACGCCAGAGACCCGGCGGTCAACGGTCGTTGACCGGCCAGAAAAAAAATTCATGAAAACAAAATTCAAAATTCAAAACAAAAAAAAAAAAAAAAAAAAAAGTCAACGCCGAAATCTGGACGGAAAAAAAATATTTCAGAAAAAAAATTATTTTCTGAAAAAAAAAGTTTTGGGGGTTAATGTGATATATTTGTTAAAATCCAGGGTCAATGTGAAATATTAAAGAAGTTAGAGCATAATGGGTGAAATTGATACGAATTAGGGTTAAAATTGGGGTCAAAATTGAAATTTGGGTTAAAATTGGTTAATTGATGAAATTGGGCTAAATTGGGGTGTAAATCATGAAATTGGAGTTGAATTGGGTTTCAATGAATTGGGGGTAATTTTGGTATATATAAAGGGATTTTCCTTATTTGCAAATAAGTTTGAATGGGGTGGATTTATTTGAAAGACAAAAAAGTTGGATGTCCCTCTTTTAATTAACTGCCCTTGTCATGGGCCTATTTGCCATTACCCCTATTATTAATTACTATATGAATATAATCTCCACTATTTAAGTTAATCATTAGATATCTAAAGTAGTTTCAATATAGATGTTTTGAAGTATTAACCCCCTCAAATTCTGGATCAATATTCGATTCTCCTCATCCTCGTCCAAGATTCAAGTGAGGCCCCCAAATACTTACGGCAACCACAGCGCACATAGTGTA